GTTGCTGCGCCGCGGCAATAATAATCATCAGGCGCGAGCTAAGAAGTTGCCAAACTTGAAAGCAATTAACGGACTAAATCAAAAAAACATTTCTCACAAAAAAAGCCAAAGCACAAGAAATACAACAAAATTCAACGTAAATGGGCGTTGCCGGCTTGTTACTTTCACTTCGTGTATGTATGTGAGCGTGTGTGAGAGAGTGTGCGTGCTTAGCGTATGTGTGTGTGGAGCGTGTCCTTGTGGCTTGCATAAACATGTCAACAGCAACTGCCTCCACCTCTGATTCATTTAGCCACTTACTAAGCTCTCTAACGGCAACAGCCGTAACCATCGACCCCGGAGTCAAGTGAAACCCATTTTTAATTAATTAAACTCCGCCCTCCTCTGCTAATTGATACACACACACATACATACACTGTAGCCGTGTGCAAAGGTTAAGTATCAAAAACATTTGCTCCGACCACATAAATAATAATTGATTTATTAATTATTTATGCTATGATTATTAGTATAGCATTCAGTTTCAACACAGATAATTCAAACTTTAAGATGAGTGGGGCCCATAATTGAGAATAATTACGAATGCATTTTATGAGAACCCGAAGGTGCATAAAGTTGTAAGATTGTTCTAGTTGCATTTGCATATCAATTTCTTTGAAAAACTAAGGGAGTTCAAGTTTCAGTACGATTTCAGCTTGCATTTAATAAGAACTTAATTTAATTATTAGATATGCAGTCCTTGGAAAATGATTTGAAATGCAAAATAATAGGAACAGTTTCAAGGTGTATAAGTGAATATTTCGAATTGATTGCAGAAAAGCGGTTCGTACACTTGTACTTCATAGAGCGCATCTTTAAATCCTTTTGAAGTTTGATTATCAATAACAAAAAGTGACGATCTCTTGTTTGCGATACGATTCGCTGGCAATTTGCATCACATCACATTTCAAATAGATACGCTTTATCGGCGCGTGGCTGGCATTTCTTATTTGAACATTTCATTATTTCCTAATTAAAATTGATAAAGGCCATGGTCTTTATGGGCTAAGCTAAATATTTGCATTTGCCAGGCAGCTGGCCAACAAAAGCCGAACAACTTAAGACAAAAGGCGTTTTCAGCCAAAAAGGTCGAAGCGATAAGCGGACAGACATCGACAGCCAGGCGAGGCAATTTCAATGCCAGCTCCCCTTGCTCTTGCTTTAGCTGCTCTGATCCTTGCAAGTGGCACGGCAGACGTTGCAGGCCAACAAGCGCAACGGTGTGCTTTGAATAATTAAACTAAAACATTTCGCTTTCAATTAAAACGTCGACGTCAAGCGTCGACACACACACACACACACACTGTAAGGTGCTTGAGCATTGGCCAAGGACACGTCAGAGAGTGTCCTTGCAGAAGTTGGAGTTTGTATGTTTGCGTGTGTCTGCGTCTGTATTTGCATGCTCAAAATGGCCTGCAGCCCGGGGCTGGGTTTGATTTTAATTTTTTTCTTTGGCTTGTTTTATTATTGTTTTTGTTGATTCGAGCGTCAATTGTTTGGGGATTGAGGATTTCGCTCCGGTACCTTTTTAACGATTTAATTTGCCAATTTTGCTTTTGGCTTGCCGTTCTTGCACATAATTAATTGGTTTTAACGAATAAGTTGATGTAATAGAAATAATTTATTGAAATTCGAAACATGATGCGCAAACACAGCCATGTTTCCGCTGCTTTTTTATTTATTTCTTTTTGGATTTTTATTTTCATTTTTTGTTGATCCGAAGCAAAATCAATACCAAACTGCGGCTCAGAGCGGCCCTGGCATCAGCTTTAAGGCAAATTGGCATTTGTAAAATATATTCGCATTGTAGGCCCAGTTTCAGTTGCGTCAGGATTCTGTGTCAGCTGCTTGTCGGCCTTTTCAAGTCAAATAAAAAGCGGCTTAAATGCCTACTGCTGCTGCTCACATTGTTGTGGGCGGCTGGCAACAGCCTACCCTACTTATCCCAGCTTTCACAAGTTTGTAATATGTATTTCAACTCTTGGAGATGGTGTGTGCGGCAACGGCTGCGGACACCATATGCAAAACAAATAAGCAACATGGCCCGCAGCTCATGGCGGCTTAGGCGCCATTTTGACTGTCAGAGAGATTCGCAAGACGCATACACAAGTGGGAGGGGTGTTTTTTTTTTTGTCGGGGGTCTGGGGCACTCTACTGTGATGAAAGCCATGACAAGCGCCGAGCATAGCAAAGATAGCTGATAAACAGCCCCTATTATCGGTTTTGCTTGCTGCTGGTCAATGTTAATTAAACGTCAGCGTCTTTTAAAGCAAACAGCAACAGCAACAGAAAAAGTTGCGGCGGCTTTGTGTAATTACACTCTTCACACACACGAAAGCTGGTCATTTAAAATTCCGGCTGCTTCAGTGCAGCATAGTGTAGCATATGCTGTGCCCACAACAAGCGAGAGAGAGAGAGGGAAAGACATTCTTCACCCTGCACTCAGAGTGTTACTTTCTCATGAGTGCACTGACAGGAACAACAACAGCTTTGACACTTCGCCTGTCCGTCCGTCTGTCTGTCCGTTTGTCTGTCTGTCTAAATACCTGGTTGGTAGACGCACCTGCAGCTTAGTGCTTGTTTTGCCCTTTCAACACTTAAGTGGGGAGAAGTGTCTTTAACACACATTTCAAAAATTCTAGCAGAAGAGGCGAATCGGCTATGGTGCGTAATTGCACAGCTTCAGTTACTTAGGTCTTGCCACAGTTTGAGCATATGCAAGCGAAGAGTTCAAGTGGTCTGGCAGAGAACACTAGTTAAGAGAGACAAATAAAGACAGAGAAAGCTAGAGAGAGAGAGCGAGAGAGAGAGAGAGGGAGAAAGAGTCGCTATCATGCTGCTGTTCAGTTATTTGTGGACAGCTAATTAAACATTTCCAGCCACACACCGAGAGCTGTGCTCTAGTCGACTCATATGTCGTCGCAGCGTTTGCGCGGACCCACATCCATTATATACTTATCACAGTAGCTGTTCTCAATGGCCGTAAATTATGTGTGAGAGCCAAAAAGCATACCCAATATTGTTGCATAGTCAGCAGTTGCCTCAGCAACATCATCATTGGCGTCGTCATTAGCCGGGCTCAAGTTTTTGTGTTAAGCCTGCGAGCGACTTTTCAGCCATGACGGTGGGCTGGTCGAATGACAAAATGCCGCTGACATTTACAAATGAACCTTGCCACAGATCGACTAATTAATGAGCCACGCCCCCAGTTAGCGAGTGTATCAAAATCACACAAGAATTGGGCGACTCTGTTCAGTCGATTGGAAAATAAGGTCTGCGAAAACCCGAGGGACAAAGCAGCTCCCAAACTTTTTACATATGTTTATTAAAACTTTGGACGCTCTTTGGTCCCAGAGGATGTGTTACCCTAGCCCCGTTTTCCAGGTGTTTGACTTACTGGCCTGTAGTTAAACAAATATGTGTGACTATCTAAATAGATCGGCCACAGTTGCATCTGAGGCCCCAAAAGAATTTGCTGTTGAAAAATAATATTTAATAATTTATTCCGTTCAACCTATATTTCTGTCAACTGAAATAATGCTTTTAATATGTTTTGGGATTTTGAATACTCTGTTAAGCTAATCTGCCTGTCAAAACTTAGCAAGCAGTTCATCCATCAAATTTTTCACTTTATGGACATAACTTGTTGTCATCTTGTGTTGTATTATTCATGGGACAGCACAAAACGAATTCGGTTAAAAGAAATAAGATTGCATTTAATTTTTGGCCAGCGTCGACTAGATGATACCCTGTGTGTAGCGATCGAAATTGTAGAAGACATATTGGAGGTTTTTTCTTAATTGTTAGTGCTTTAAGAAGAACATTTTGTAAACCATTTTGAAGAGATTCAAGGCGAATGGAATTCAATTTAAATTCGAATGTTAATTTAAGAGGACATTCTGATGGTGGATTTCTTGATTATAGCCCGAACAAAATTACCAATTGATTATCCGTTCATGTATCGATACATATATGTATATTTACATCATATAGCATAGCTCATGACGCAGCTAGTTCTGTGTTAGTTTCCCTCCCAAAACAATAATAAGTTTAACCAATTCTTAAATGGCGCCAGATGGCTTTCCTTATATAAGTATGTCTACTTGACTGCTTTCAAGCAAATAAAAATATATTCATAATATCAGACTGTAACGTCTGCTTGGGCTTTGCCATAGCCTTGACCATTTGACAATTTAATGGCAAGTTTTGTAAGCAAACTGAATGAAGAAATCAAGGCGAGACAAAAATCTGCGGTGCACAGGAACCGCCGGGGGGTGCGACATCCTGTGGTTTTTGTTGTTGCCCCGAAGCAAATGTTATGTTAAAGCGACATTTTAATTAATACCGACCAAGAGGTCCGGGCTAGAGGGAAACAGAGCCTGGGGCTGGGATTCACACTGGCAGGCGGTTAGTTTGGCGACGGGCGGCCCAGGCGTATGGCACTTAAGGCACAGTCTTGAACGCAATATTCTCGTTTACTTTTACAAGCAAAGACACGCACACACAGAGAGAGAAGGAGAGTTGCAACAGCTAGAGAGCTGAGACCGCACAATAGCCGTAGCCGGCAGCAAGGAGCGCTTGGAGCACTTGAGCACAGCTTGAAGCAGCATAATGGGCTGCGCCTATAAGTGCACTTGGGTTTGTGCCCATGGGCTGGCCGGGCCGGGCCCTGCAGTTAGGGGAGCGATTCGTGGTATTCGAGGCAGTGGGACAGTTCGGGGCAGCGTTATAAAAATATAAATGACAGGCCGCGCAAAATGAGTGGAAGCCCGGCAAACAATAACAAGTCTTGTGTCAACCGCCCATCCACCCACTAAATCTGTGAACTGCGCCACTTTTGGCGTGCTTAAACCTATGGCTGACTCTCTATTATATTCCATGGATTTTTAATGCAACTTCCGCTTGAAATGTGACCTGCTCGTAAATTCAACTGCTTTCTCGTTTTATTCGTTTAACTGCAGAATCTTCAAGACGACGGCACATTCGGTGCAGGAAGATGTCAACTTGCTGCACGCCTCGGTCCTGTCCATGGTGGAGTTTGACGATGATATATTCGCGGCGGGCAATTGCTTTGATTGGAATGAGCATCCAGCGCAGCCGGGACTATTCTGCCCGTTTGCGTATCGACTGCCGCCACCGAATCTGGGCGCCATATTTGCCAAAGACCTGGCCATGGAGTATCATTATCTGGGCAACACATCCGAATGGTTCTTTCTCGCACGCAAGAACGCCGAGAAGGTGATAGCACGCAACGAGCAATACCTGAAATGTAAGTAGCTTCTGATTTATGCACCCTCTGCGGACTGGCGCGAAGGGGAGCCCGGTTGTTTGCCAGCTTATTTATGCGCCGATAGATCTTTGTGTATGGCATTGAATATTTATATTTGCTGCGTGCTTTAATCTGTGACTTCATTAGTCACTGTCCAGACGACATCAGGGACATTTAGCCAAGACGCTATGGGAGCCACCAGGCCATAAAAGAGAGCTACTGCGACTGTTACTGCTGCTACTGCTGCTGCTGCCTAATTGCGATGCCGTCGCTACCCATTTAGAGTCGCATATTTTACTGTCGCTTTATCATTGCCAGTTGGGCAAATTTCTATCATAGCCCAACAATTAAGCAAATAAATAAGAAGAAAATGCCCGCATAGACTCGAAATACTATGTGCATATATAGTATAAGAGAAGGCCACTTAAAATGTAAATGAATGGGCCCAAAAGTATCGTACCCGTCACGCCTTTCTAATTAGTTGTGATTCTTGAATGCGCACCTGGGACCGAGCTGAGCTGAACCAACCAAGCCGAAAATTGTGCAATTTATGCATGTACATATGTGTCGTAGTTCCTTTTATTTTTTAACTGCGTACAATTTCAGTAGAATTTCAGCATCGACTCAATCTTATGAAGTCGAGTCACGTTTGGACACTTACTGAAAGTTGAAAACGAATTTCAATCAGTTGCATTTAATGCAACAATTTTCTCACATTACATTCAATTATGAGCGCCTGTTGCGTCCCCTTCATCAGTCAATCAGACAGTTGGCCAGTCAATCTTTTAATTTACACACAGTTTACACACGCGCACACACACAGAGACACGCACACGCGCACACACAGCTGTTAATGCATGTCGATGAAGCCAGCAAATTAAAGGTTACGTATACGTCACGTGTCGTGTTTGCGATGCGGGCTGCTCATGCTGGGCATATGCAAATTATTTGCCTGCTTGACTGCAGGCATACAAATAAACCAATGTACACTTAATGTACGTGTGCTATTTGTGCACGCGAGTGCCCGACTATTACTTAGCGCTGGGCAGACAGACATTTTCCAGCTGCCCCAAAACAGTTTCCATGTGATCTACGCTCGATGGTGCACCAGCTCACAAACGCCGAAATGACAAACGGAATTGAAAGCAAACAAACACAGCCTGCCGCTAAGGCTCCACTGCATGCTAATGCCGTTTTTTTTTTTTTTTTTGGGAGCCACTACAGATTGCAGCCTGCTTCGGGCAGGCAAACAAAAGCTGTGGAAGGCAACTATTTGCCACAGATGAAAATTCATTTGTTCCCTCCATTTGTTGGCCCGTTTATTTGCTTACCGCTGTTGCTCCTAGTGGGGGGTAATTGAAACCCGAAAAAAAAAGTCGTTGAAATATTATTTTTTGCCCAAATATTCAGCACAAAGCCGTGCTGCATGTCGTCTACCCCTGTCGGACTCGTTTGCCACAAAAATGTACTTCTTGCAGCGGACGTTTCAGGAAATATTAAATATCACCTTGAATCGGTTGGATTCAAGCCCATATATGTTGAACTGTTTAACCTGTAAGGTGTTTCATATTTTCAAAAGATAAAGCAAATACTGTCGCACCTTCCAATAGTGAAAAAGCATGGTCTCATTTTTCATGTAGCCATATGCTTTTATTTATATAATCCAGGTAAAAAGTCTGCGTTCAGCATAACAGTTTTTTACCTTAATACTAAATAAATAAAATAATAAAAATACAAATGGGAATGAATTTACGGAGCACCGAAGAGGAAATACCCCAACTGTTCTCTTCAATGATACATTGGTCCGATGCTGATAACCGTTTTCTCATATGAAGAGCTTTTATATGCCAAGTTAAAATAACAAAGTATTTTTTAGTAAAAACCCTAATGTTTCATCCGATCTATGAGTGACATATGATATAATGGTCCAATCCGGCTGCTTACGACATAAACTTTGTGCAACAGAAACACAGGCAGCAGGTCGATAGCTTTAGCGATATATGTTAATCTATATCGAATCGGCTGTTATTACTTATCAATATATGTATATAGGTATACTATATGAGTCTGAAAACAACATCTCCATTACACATTTCGTGGCAGAATTATGAAATGTTCCATAGGGTATAAAAAGAAAACAAAATCATTTTTCATGCATTGATAGGGTGCTTGTGCATGCATGTCTATATGCTCGTGCGTGTGTGTCTGTGTTGACCACCATTTTGACAGCGGGTCATATATCTATGGCAACCGGCGACCTCGGTTCGTCGTCGTGGCTAGAATAAAACTTATTTGAAAGATGCCTCACGGTATAGCCACTATGATTTACGGTCAGCCACAGCTATAAATGTGTGTATATACACACATGTGTGTGTTTGCATATGTGCCTATGTGGATAACAGACATTTCGCAACAGCTCAACCTCCAGAGCTCGCTAAATTGCGCCTTAAGGTCAGCATCGCTGCTGAAATATCTGCATAGCGCAGCTGACTTTCAATTTATATGCATTTACATATTTGAACTTGCCCCAGCCGCAGCCTAAGACTCTGCCACGGTTTCGTTCCGTTCGCCTTGGTCCCCTGGCGTGCTCGTGGCCGCATTCAAGTTTATCGGGAAAAGTTTGGCCTGGCGCAAAAGTCGCGCTGCGGCTGCACCATAAAATGCAAGCGGCAAGAAAGATTATTAAATTTTCAGGGATTTTCTCACGCCAGCTGATAAATACATATAGACATTTATATATATACATTTTTTGCAGGCACAACAAATTGCCGGCCAATTCAAGCGCAATTAATTTGATTATTTTTTTGCGGTGTTAAGTAATACGAATCGTATTTTTTAAATAATTATCGAACGGAAAATCATGACGAGCCTTTCCACGAATACAAAAATAAACAAGTAAGAGGTTCTAGTCGGGAGCTCCCGACTAGGCGATACCCTGAACCCTTTTCTTCCAACATCAAATACATATATATATTCTATTTTAGAAGCTATATGTCAAGTTTGGTGACTCTAGCTATTATTATTTACCAAAATTTCCTAAAAAACAGGATATCGATATAGATTTTTATCGATTGCTTGGAAACGGATTAAGTTATCGATTATCGGAAACAAACTCGATCTGCGAAGGCACTAGAAGCACCTACATCTAAAATTTCAAATCTCTAGGTTCTGAGATCCTTGCGTTCTACCTACGGACGGACGAACGGACGGACAGACAGACGGACATGGCTAGATCGACTCGGCTATTGGTGCTGATCAAGAATTTATATACTTTATGGGGTCGGAGGTGCTTCCTTCTGCCTGTTACATACATTTGGATTTTGCACAAATACAATATACCCTTATACCCATTTTTAATGGGTTCAGGGTATAAAAGCCAAACTTCGTGATAATCGGATGAGATTTGACCGAGTTATGGGTGTGGTAATTTTTGACCCATGTCTATATACGAATCTTGGGGTAAGATTTGGACATGAATTTCGACCAGATAATCGGTGTCGAGATTTGAATGCCACATTAATCTAGAGGGAAAACCATGAAGAAAACGCCAAACTTCGTGAATATCGGATGAGATCTGGCCGAGATATGGGGGTGGTAATTTTTGACCCATGTCTATATACGAATCTTGGGGTAAGATTTGGACATGAATTTCGACTAAAAAATCGGTGTCGAGATTTGAATGCCAGATTAATCAAGAAGCAAAACCATGAAGAAAACTCCAAACTTCATGAAACCCGGATGAGATTTGACCGAGTTATGGGGGTGGTAATTTTTGACCCATGTCTATATACGAATCTTGGGGTAAGATTTGGACATGAATTTCGACCAAAAAATCGGTGTCGAGATTTGAATGCCACATTAATCTAGAGGGAAACCCATGAAGAAAAAACCAAACTTCGTGAAAATCGGATGAGATTTGACCGAGTTATGGGGGTGGTAATTTTTGACCCATGTCTATATACGAATCTTGAGGTAAGATTTGGACATGAATTCCGACCAAAAAATCGGTGTCGAGGTTTGGATGCCAGATTAATCTAGAAGGAAAACCACAAAGAAAAAGCCAAACTTCGTGAAAATCGGATGAGATTTGACGGAGTTATGGGGGTGGTAAACTTTGACCCATGTCTATATACGAATCTTGGGGTAGGATTTGGACATGAATTTCGACCAAAAAATCGGTGTCGAGATTTGAATGCCACATTAATCAAGATAGAAACCCATGAAGAAAAAACCAAACTTCGTGAAAATCGGATGAGATTTGACCGAGTTATGGGGGTGGTAATTTTTGACCCATGTCTATATACGAATCTTGAGGTAAGATTTGGACATGAATTTCGACCAAAAAATCAGTGTCGAGATTTGGATGTCAGATTAATCTAGAAGGAAAACCATGAAGAAAAAACCAAACTTCGTGAAAATCGGATGAGATTTGACCGAGTTATGGGGGTGGTAATTTTTGACCCATGTCTATATACGAATCTTGGGGTAAGATTTGGACATGAATTCCGACCAAAAAGTCGGTGTCGGGATTTGAATGCCACATTAATCAAGAGGGAAACTCATGAAGAAAAAACCAAACTTCGTGAAAATCGGATGAGATTTGACCGAGTTATGGGGGTGGTAATTTTTGACCCATGTCTATATACGAATCTTGAGGTAAGATTTGGACATGAATTTCGACCAAAAAATCGGTGTCGAGATTTGGATGCCATATTAATGTAGAAGGAAAACCATGAAGAAAACGCCAAACTTCGTGAAAATCGGATGAGATTTGGCCGAGATATGGGGGTGGTAATTTTTGACCCATGTCTTTATACGAATCTTGGGGTAAGATTTGGACATGAATTTCGACCAAAAAATCGGTGTCGAGATTTGAATGCCACATTAATCTAGAGGGAAACCCATGAAGAAAAAACCAAACTTCGTGAAAATCGGATGAGATTTGACCGAGTTATGGGGGTGGTAATTTTTGACCCATGTCTATATACGAATCTTGGGGT